GGGGGGGTGGAGCTTGGAGCGGTGACTACTTTACAACACACACAGGGACCATGGGGAACAGACGTAGCCCCCCTCCAGAAGGAAGGACAGTGTCAGAGATGATTGGAGGATCTCCAGCCGAGTGGCACACACATCAGATACATTGTTGCTCGGAGTTCGGGGACTCGGAGGGATATTTAGGATTTATCTGCTACACGGGGAAAAATGTAACACAGTGTAACCTACGGTTTTTCCCCATAGTTCTCCTCAGGGTAACGGGAGGACACGAACTAGCGTCCTCCCGTCACCCTAAGCTCAGTATATAGCAGGCTACAGCTCGCGGTATACTGAGACGCAGGAGCGGATCCCGACTCGGAAGACGGGATCCGCCCCGCTGCGTGAGTGACAGCTGGCTCCTCCTATCTAGAGGCAGAGCCAGCTGTACCCGCCCCCTCCCCCGTCCGTTCCGCCAGTCAGCGCTGGCAGATCGGAGCGGGACTCATAGTTCTCCTTTAATGTGATTGGCTGTCGGGAAGTCACAGCAACCAATCAGCACTCTGTCTGCAATACTCTGATAGAAGATGAAATCTGATTGGTTGCCGTTGTTGCACCAGCAAAAAATGTGTTTCGTTTTTCGGATGAAATTCGTTAGCGGAAGTTTGGACGTCTTTCTTCGCTTCAGCATAGTGACATCATTTTTTTTTTATGTCACTTTGCTGCAACGAAAATTCATTCAAAAAGTTTGTTTTCGGAAATTCGTTTTAATTCGTCATTCAGAAATTCGAATCTCCGAGTAACGAAAATTCATCCGAAAACAAATTTTTCCCGAATCGCACGTGTCTATTGTTCTGACACGCTTTGCGCCGATTGGCCGGGAGCTCTCACCACGTTGCGGGGCAGTCGGTGGCCGGGGAGGTACTTGACGTTTTCGTAGTCCTGATTGATGATGTCTGACAACCTGCGTCCTCCGACAGTCTCCTGGAACACCCACATGCTCACCGCCGGGTGGAAGCGGTTGGATCTTTCGGTGTTCTTCCCGATGATGATGGAGATGGCGGATCCCCTGGAACACAGAGAACGCCAAGCCGCGGCCATTAGAGGGGCCACGTGTCATATTCAAGTATTGATTCCTCAACTATTAGGACTACCGTGTTTCCCCGAAAATAGGACACTGTCTTATATTTTTTTGGCTCAAAAAAAAAACACGCTCGGTCTTATTTTCGGGGTAGATCATATTTTTTTGATGTACAAAAATCTAGTGATCAGGGCAATCAGGGGCGCCGTACCTTTCCAAGAGCAATTTGCTAACCAATCGCTGGCCAGAATGAGCGAAGCTTTCACTATAGATTCCTCACAGGCGGAGAGCATTTGGTATGACTCCGCCTGTGACAGGAGGCGGCGCTATAGAGGAGGCGTCGGCTTATGCGCCTCTGCTCCCTCCGGTGCCGCCTCGCTTCCTCTAGCGCCGGCTTCGTTGGCACCGCTGATTCTCTCCCGCGGCTCTTCAAGTTCCCCCTTATGCCGCCACCGGCCCCTGGGAATGGTCACAACTAGGTCTTATTTTCGGGGAAACAGGGTGCTGCTGAGGACAACCCCCGACCTGCGGAGCTCCAGTGCATTGTGGGTACATTGGGAGTCATTGCAGTACATGTGGATTGCTATGTGATCTATTCTATTCCTCTACATCTTCCAGCTGCTGCAAAATGACACAAGACCCTGTCACGAGGGAAATTCCGCCTCTGCTGAGAACCTCCTGAAAATGTTCATTGCACCATCGGTGACAGCACCATCCCTGACAGCACCATCCGTGACAGCACCATCCCTGACAGCACCATCCGTGACAGCACCATCCCTGACAGCACCATCCGTGACAGCATCATCCATGACAGCACCATTCGTGACAGCACCATTTGTGACAGCACCATTCGTGACAGCACCATTCGTGACAGCACTGTATGTGACAGCACCATCTATGACAGCATCATCCATGACAGCACTGTATGTGACAGCATCATCCATGACAGCACAATCCATGACAGCACTGTATGTGACAGCACCATCTATGACAGCATCATCCATGACAGCACCCTTCGTGACAGCACCATCCGTGACAGCACCATCCACGGCAGCACCATCCATGACAGCACCATCCATGACAGCACAATCCATGACAGCACTGTATGTGAGAGCACCATCCGTGACAACATCATCCGTGGCAGCACCATCCATGACAGCACCATCCATGACAGCACCATCCATGACAGCACCATCCATGACAGCACCATCCATGACAGCACCATCCATGACAGCACCATCCATGACAGCACCATCCATGACAGCACCATCCATGACAGCACCATCCATGACAGCACCATCCATGACAGCACCATCCATGACAGCACCATCCATGACAGCACCATCCATGACAGCACCATCCATGACAGCACCATCCATGACAGCACCATCCATGACAGCACCATCCATGACAGCACCATCCATGACAGCACCATCCATGACAGCACCATCCATGACAGCACCATCCATGACAGCACCATCCATGACAGCACCATCCATGACAGCACCATCCATGACAGCACCATCCATGACAGCACCATCCATGACAGCACCATCCATGACAGCACCATCCATGACAGCACCATCCATGACAGCACCATCCATGACAGCACCATCCATGACAGCACCATCCATGACAGCACCATCCATGACAGCACCATCCATGACAGCACCATCCATGACAGCACAATCCATGACAGCACTGTATGTGACAGCACCATCTATGACAGCACCATCCGTGACTGCACCATCTGTGACAGCACTATTCGTGACAGCACCATCTGTGGCAGCACCATCCATGGCAGCACCATCCATGACAGCATCATCCATGACAGCACTGTATGTGAGAGCACCATCCGTGACAACATCATCCGTGGCAGCACCATCCATGACAGCGCCATCCATGACAGCACTATTCATGACAGCACTATCCATGACAGCACAATCCATGACAGCACTGTATGTGACAGCACCATCTATGACAGCACCCTCCTTGGCAGCACCATCCATGACAGCAGAATCCATGACAGCACCATTCGTGACAGCACCCTCCGTGACAGCACCATCCGTGACAGCACCATCCATGGCAGCACCATCCATGACAGCACCATCCATGACAGCACAATCCATGACAGCACTGTATGTGACAGAAACATCCGTGACAGCACCCTCCATGACAGCACCATCCGTGACAGCACTATTCGTGACAGCACCATCTGTGGCAGCACCTTCCATGATAGCACCATCCGTGACAGCACCATCCGTGACAGCACCATTCGTGACTGCATCATCCATGACAGCAGAATCCATGACAGCACTGTATGCGACAGAAACATCCGTGACAGCACAATCCATGATGACAGCACAATCCATGACAGCACTGTATGTGACAGCACCATCTATGACAGCACCATCCGTGACTGCACCATCTGTGACAGCACTATTCGTGACAGCACCATCTGTGGCAGCACCATCCATGGCAGCACCATCCATGACAGCATCATCCATGACAGCACTGTATGTGAGAGCACCATCCGTGACAACATCATCCGTGGCAGCACCATCCATGACAGCGCCATCCATGACAGCACTATTCATGACAGCACTATCCATGACAGCACAATCCATGACAGCACTGTATGTGACAGCACCATCTATGACAGCACCCTCCTTGGCAGCACCATCCATGACAGCAGAATCCATGACAGCACCATTCGTGACAGCACCCTCCGTGACAGCACCATCCGTGACAGCACCATCCATGGCAGCACCATCCGTGACAGCACCATCCATGGCAGCATCATCCGTGACAGCACCATCCATGGCAGCATCATTCATGACAGCACCTTCCATGACAGCAGAATCCATGACAGCACCATCCGTGACAGCACCATTCGTGACAGCACCATTCGTGACAGCACCATCCATGGCAGCACCATCCATGGCAGCATCATCCATGACAGCACAATCCATGACAGCACCATTCGTGACACCATCACCATCCGTGACACCATCCATGACAGCACAATCCATGACTGCAGAATCCATGACATCACCATCCATGACAGCCCCACCTGCCCCTCCCCTGTTGCTGGTTGTTGGGCATATGTGGTACCCTGGCCACACCAACCACACCCGGCTCTTCCTCCCGCTCACTATGACAGCCGGGCCCCTCGCTGGGTTGGGGAAGTTCGGACAGAGAACGTCACTGTAGAGATCCTGTCAGATCTGTCCTTGTCCTCTCTGGGAAGATTTGCCCCTATTTTTGTCCTGGTGTCACGGAGACAGGAAGTGAGGGGAAATCTTCCATTGGGGACACCTGTCTATAAAGGGATGACCCTCCTCCAATATGTAGAGATTTCCTCTCACTTCCTGTTGTTTCTCTGGGACAGGAAGTGAAGAAATATCTTACCAAAGAGCGGGTACAGACAGCAAATACTGGCATCGGATTCACCCCTCACCACTCCACCCAGAGTGCATCTAATACTGACCCACATCTCAGATCCACCCACACGGGGTCTCCCCAATACAAGGGGTGATAGTTTTGGGGTGATGATATTCGGAGGGGTCAGGGATGATAATAAATGGGGTGAATGTGCTGAAGTGACATAGTTTGCGTGTAGAGGGGGCTAATATTGGGGGTAATGGTAATTTTCGTGTTGATAGTATTGGGGTGATTATAGTTGGGGTGTAGAAGGTGACAGAATTGGGGTGATTATAGTTGGGGTGTTAGAGGTGACAGAATTGGGGTGATTATAGTTGGGGTGTAGAAGGTGACAGAATTGGGGTGATTATAGTTGGGGTTGTAGAAGGTGACAGAATTGGGGTGATTATAGTTGGGGTGTAGAAGGTGACAGAATTGGGGTGATTATAGTTGGGGTTGTAGAAGGTGACAGAATTGGGGTGATTATAGTTGGGGTGTAGAAGGTGACAGAATTGGGGTGTTTATAGTTGGGGTGTAGAAGGTGACAGAATTGGGGTGATTATAGTTGGGGTTGTAGAAGGTGACAGAATTGGGGTGATTATAGTTGGGGTGTAGAAGGTGACAGAATTGGGGTGTTTATAGTTGGGGTGTAGAAGGTGACAGAATTGGGGTGATTATAGTTGGGGTGTAGAAGGTGACAGAATTGGGGTGATGGTAATTGCGGGTCTCACCAGTTCCCGGAGCCGATGATGGTGACCCTGAGCGGTGCCATCTCAGTCCTGCTGATCCTCCGCTCCCTGCACACCTTGCGAACCGCCGGGTGATGTGCGCCCGCTGTGTGCGCACGCTCTGTGTCGGGTGATGTGCGCCCGCTCTGTGCCGGGTGATGTGTGCCCGCTCTGTGCCGGGTGATGTGTGCCCGCTGTGTGCGCCCGCTCTGTGCCGGGTGATGTGTGCCCGCAAAATATACATCAGTGTACCCCAAATATGTCCCTATCCCCCACTGACACCCCAATATACATCCATGTACTCCAAATCTGCCCCTATCCCCCACTGACACCCCAAT